TAGGAACACCTTCAAACAAACATCCATTCATCCATATAAACTTTCGTATTTATAACATTAGTAAGATTTACAAAAGCATTTGTACCAAAATAAGATACAAAAAGAAAGTAAGAAAGAAACTTTAAGCAGGCCTAATACTTTAAAGAGTCTGCAGGGGCGCAGGGAGCGGGAAATACGAACATCAACAGATTTAGTTAAGCCTTTGTCTTTATTACACTGTAAGTAGATGACACAGTTTAAGTCGAACTGCAGTAAAACTAGCAAAACCCGTTTAGTTATTACTTAGGGGATTCTCCTAAGACTTAACGAACAAGCTTTTGTAACTTTACTGCTTTAAGATGGTTGTAATAAAATTTCAGGATATTATATTTAGGTCAATAAATAAATTTAGTTAATACTTATGGAATAAAATGTTTGATACTATTAGATTTATGTTTTTGTTTAGTGAATTTAAGTGTTTACATAAGCATATTATATTTATCATATTGAAAAGCTCCCAAACAAATTGCTTACGGCCTCGAGTCAATAAATTGCTTAAGAAAATTTATTACTTTATCCACGGTGGAACACAGTTTGTTACATCAAACAAATTTGCTTCGACTTTTTCATTTATACAACTTTATTAGAAATGAGACCGTTTAACTTCCAATATTCTATTCTAATAAAACATGTTTTTGTTCATATTCATTTACCAGACACCAAAATATTTTTGTCTAATTACCTAATTGGAATTAAAAATAGGTTGAAAATATTCTGTCTGCATTTAAATACTTTAAAATTCCAGTCTAAAAGTCCACGTCATAGTTCTCTTTATAATAAGGTTGCGAGTTAAAATTCATTTGTATTTTTTTTTTATAACAGAAGGGGGCAAACGAGCAGCGGGAACACCGAGGTGTTGAACGACGCCCATGGACATCAGCAATACCAGAGGAACCCCAGATGCATTGCCGGCCTTTGAGGTGGAGATAAGCTCGCTTCTTCAATGACCCTAAGGTGTAGCGGTTTGGAAATACCGCCGAGGACAGATCATTCCACAACGCTGCTGTGCGAGGCAGGAAGTTTCGCGTAAACCGCACGGTTGTGGATTGCCATCCATCGAGATGGTGTGGATGGAACCTGGCGGTCTGTCGTGTCGTCCGATGACGGAACTCGGCGACAGGAATCAGTATTATCGGTATTTATTTTAATTGTAAACCCATTCTGATTAAATTAAAATATATAAATATAAAACATCAACAGTCGAAATTAATTTGCATTTTCTTGACTCGAAATCACAAGCTACTAAAACAGTGCAAAAATGTTAATAAGACATAACATCGAATTTTAAAGTTTGATTACAAAAAAGCAATATATTTCGTTTTATTTATAAACAGGGTGGTTATAAAATACAGTCAATCGAGTTTTTAATGCTTCAAAGTTTTTAACATCGCCAAAACCAAATCCCGAGTCGTACTAGTTTTTAATAACCCACTATTGTTCCCTATCTAGAAATAACGTTAAAAATTATCTTGGGTTGAATATTTTTTGGTTGTTTTATTTTAATTTGTATCTTTACATGCCGGTCATATTGTATTGGGCATAAGTGGTTCGCTACATCGCTTGGAGCGCGGCCAACCTACGTGGTGCATACGTGTGCCAATAATTAAATTTTGTCGCATTTATTTGTGTTATTATTACATTACTATCTTCTCATGAATATGACTTTAATGTTTTATTTATTTTATCCTATTAAAATGAATGCTATTACTTGTTCATTTTACATATATAAATATCTTGATAAACAATTTATGTTCGTTACTACAAAAATCATTACGTATTTTCTTGACATAAATGACCACCGTTGCATATTCAAATCCAGAATAGACGAAAAGCTATAGAAACCTTTTTTAAGCTCTATTTGCACTTGTGTCGCAAACTATAAAGTGGCAGCCCTGAAAAAATCGAAATAGAAAAAGTTTTCTAAACAAAAACCTTTCACATTCAGGGTTGTGCATTAATGTTTCACAGCGGCTGTGTTAGTTGCTCTTACGTTTTCGCTCACAGTCCTGCATATTTAACACTCTAAGGTCAAATTAGTGGATTTCAAAACGTCCGTCTACTTTTTTATGTCTTATTTGAAATGTTAGCAGTTCTATTTTATGTTTGGAACGTGTTTTTACGTAAAAATAAAGACATTATTTATAACCTATAACACGACTTTCTATCTAAGTGAATGTTTAAACGAAAACGAAACGAAACGAAACGAAAAAACGAAAATTAAACGAAAAGGCGTCGTTTATAAATTATAGAATCGATGGAATATATTAATAATAAAAAACAATTTAATGTTTTTGGAATAAAATTTTTCAAAAAATTTTAATTAAATTGTAAAAAAATTCGGCATACTGTTTTTATTTTTAAAAACAAGTACACATTCAATAGAGAACAATACATTGGTTTTGTAGTACGTATTGTTGGTTTGACCGCAATAATAGAATTGCAATCGGTCGAGTGGAGACACTTGGAGACTCGGTACACACACTGTCTCACTCGAATGAATCGAGTAACATTGGTACATCTGAGTATTCTCTAGCGACTTGATTAATTGTCAAGTAATCACTTTAAATCCAAAAGCTATTTTAGTAATTGAATTACTACAAGTTATCACTTATCGTAAGTTTTCCACTGCGTATACTCGTGTACAAAAACATCTAATCGTCCCTCTCATTATTTTTGAAAAAACAAAGATCCCAATGTTTTTGTATGATGTGTTTCGTATTGAAAAATTAGGTTATGCTACATTTGCTATACGTCTATGATTTTACATATTAAATATTATAATTTTTTAAGCAATTTAGATTTTAAATATTTTAACCAAATAATTAAGTCACCTAAAAATGTAGGAGTTTGAAAAATACGTTCTTCAATATAAGTATTTTCTTTTATTACCGATCTCCCAGTTGGCAAGAGTGATTGAAACTTTGCGGTCAAATGACCAGTTTGACCTAAAACTTTCATTGTAAAAGTTTTCTCAAACTCAATTTCAAAATTATAAACAAATACACTTACAGCTTTACAGCCTTCGGGGCCGATACTTAAACAAGTTTTTTATTTCATTTTAATGGCGACCACATGCTATTTTCTAATGTCGTACTAATTGACACCATATCGCCGACTAATGACTGTTGTTTTTCTTTGTGACAACCATTAACTATTCAAAAAAGATATTAAGTGATTTTCCTATTGTTTGAATGATAAATGTGAAACCCTTAAAGCCTTAAACACAAAGTTCCAAGTCTAAAGCACTGTTCTACGTCACTTTAATGTTTCCGAACGTTTCTAAATGGCCGTTCGGCTTTGAATCCCACGGCCCGTTTGTAAATATTTCAAGCAAACTAACTTTAGTTTCTCGTACAAATGACATACGGAATTAATTTACTGGTACGCTTCATAACTTTATCAATATTCATATACTTATAAATTTATCAAAATAAAGATGCCACTAATATTTAAGTTTTTAGAATTATTTAAAAAAGCATCATCTTACACCAGCATACATCTCTTGCAGCCAGCAAAGTTTGCTAGTGAAAAAATAAATTTACCGACTTTACTTTTTACTGATTTTCGGAAAATAAAGTAATCAAAAATAGTCAATACGAAAAGCAACCACATTGTTTAGACATATTTTATTTAGACCAAACTGTTTAAATAAAAAATGAACCTTTTTTGACATTTGTTCTTCAACGTTAAATTCTAAGGACCTGCTATAAGTCTTATAAGCTGAAAATGAAATTAAAGAAACTTGAATTCAACTACAAAAAAATTTAACTGGAACTTGATAGATACGAGTTTAAATTCAAAAGCTTCGTACGTCTACTTTATTACGTGAAGCGGTCGACTTGTGCTGAATACGAATAATTTAATTCTTGTCGACAAGTGTGATAAATTAATTAAAGCCAGGTAAGAAACTCACGGTGTACTCAGTTTGACTACGACGAAAGTATATGATTTTTTTTTAAATCTGAATTATATTCACAATGCCATAACTGCAATTTCCTAGCATTATTAGCAGTTTACAAATGTCTTATTTATACAGTTCTTACTATTATAAATGGAAATGTTTGGATATATGGATGGATGTCTATTAGAAGGTATCAGCAGACACGCTCAACGGCTTGATGAAATTTTACATAGAAGTAGAACATAGTCTTGGAAACATAAGCTTCTAATTAAGATTTTTTTTTAATTCCGCGCGGACGCATGCGACCGCTAGTGTTAAATTATTTAAAATGTAATAAACTATTTAGTTTTTGTCCAAATACAAAATGCAAGTTAAGCAATAAACTCTGGTACATTAATATTTATTGCGGTCTGTTCATAACTAAGACCATTATAAATATTTATAATAGAGATTCACAAAGCAAATATGCTAACGAGTGAACTATGAAAACAAGCAGTCGGCTGTTACGAAGTTGTTTGGGGTACGCTATCGCAGCGAATATGTGCTACGGCTAAGTAACAACAACACGTAACTTATAAATTAAGCAACGTTTCACTAAGTTGATTGTAACCAGTCCCTATCTAAGTTAAGAATCAATAAAGACAGAGTTCTAGGAACAAATTTCATTCTAACTTTCGTTTGGTAAGTTAGTGAAACCAATATTAGTGAGTGTCCTTCAGGTCGCTTCTTTAAAACAAACTTTACTTTTTTTAAACTAACTTTAGTTAGTGGTATAGTCCTTAATTATATTTCTACTAAGAAACTCATGTTTCCTATTAGAAAAAACTATGAATATAAAACTTCTTTCATTAAGTTGATAATTTCTTTGATCTGGCGCTATATTTTAATTTGCCTTAATTTTATATTTCTTTTAGATGTTCCATGTATTCATGGTTGTTCAGTACACGATTAGTCCTGCGGCACAACCATCCTTAGACTACGTTGCAAGGGTTGGCGTGATATGGTAAATATATGAAGTGGTACTTACCAACTCGATGCCCGGTTCACCGCCTGCACTTACCTGGTCAGTCTGTTGGTGTCAGTCGAATCAAATAGTCAAAGGCGCCAGCAATGCTGCACTCCTGATGCGCCCGATGCACTTCCCATAAGCGACTTGTAGACGTGACGTTGTCAACCCGAACGCAGAATCATAAACCGACACGTTCGATGTGTGACATTTTCCGTTCAACTTCCGTCGACTCACGATGCTGACTTTCAACTGTCGACTGCCTTCCCCGCACTAATCCCCGCAGGCTCTGCGCCCGACTGTAGCGGTGAGGGATTTCTAACTACCCGCTTGTGCAGGAGAATAAAAGTGAGTCGAGTTACCTACATTAAATCGCTTATACTGAACCGCGAAATTGAAAACATTTGTACCGAATGACTCTTCCTTGCGCTTTACTATTTAATCAATGATTTATTGCCGTATCTCTTTATTTTATCTTTCTTTATAATATTAGTCTTCTCGCTTATTAAATTGGTACATAAAAGTGGCAGAATATTGACTAAAATAATGTTATCTTTTGTTAAGAAATACACTTCGCGGTTTTTGTTAGAGACGGCTTATTGATCGCCATGTACCATAACATATTGACCAAAGAGATTAATGGCGGCTACAAGCGATAAACACGCAATAAAACCTAAACCAAACAATAAATCTAAAACTCTCTAACTTATTGCTGAATACCTCACTTTTATTCTATTACAAAATTTATCTTCATTTTCGAGAATATCTATGATATTACGCAAATATATAATGGAAATTAATTGCACAAAATTGAAACAGAAATGATAAATTACCGTTGATGTCTAGCGTCAAAACATGTACAGAAACATATCGATATCTCTTTCATTCCCTTTGAAAAAATAAAGATAGGAATATATTTTTACGCAGTATTTCGGAAGTTTCAACTCACATTTAATTTATTAAAAAAATAGTTATTACGTTTTCCGTTTGAATACATCTTCGGTTTAATTTGAAATTTTTATATCGACTACTAGACTATGTGATATAAAAGCAGTAAGGTAAAGGTAAGGAAGCAACACTTGTTCATCTGAAATCTCATTTTTATTTAACTTCTGTGGCGCGAGTTCGACTTACGTTTGAATCGCAAACTTCGATCATAGGGAATAACTTTTATCACTTCCAAAGTTTTCTTTGAGAACTTCCACTTCATAGATACTTTATTTAGATATAGAGAGGAGTGGCTACAGTAATATTGCTACATTTTAATTATGACTAGCGATCGCCCCTGACTGCACTCGATAAGCAGAAACGCCTGTATTTTTCCGAAAATTTAACAGCTAATTTTACCTAAATATTTAATTTAGATAAGTAAAAAAGAAATTAAAAAGATTTTTTCAATAATAATGTATTAACTTTATAATCAAATAGACATAAATTTTTTCATTCTATTTTTTATTTGTTCCAGTCGTATTTATGTTAATTTTTAGGTTAATTTTGCATAAATAGATCGTGGATAGTTTATAACTACTATAAAACAAGTTGGGATGTAATAATAACAGAGTCGTCCACTAATATAAAGCTGGGCAACGTTCGGGGACGTTCTGAAATATTAAAGTGACATAAAGCAAAGCTTTATAGTTGGAACTTTGCCTTCAAGGGTTTGGCGTCCGGTGGACCATAAAATAAGTAAATTGGAATATATGTTAAATACCACACTATATGTTAAGTTAAAATAAATTACGTTATGTAGAACTGTCCGTCTATACAGTAAAATAAAATGGAGTTTATGTGCTTAATATCGAAAAAAAAATTACGTGTATGTTATTAATTTTCTTTATCTGTAACAATTTTTAAAACGTTTGTATGTCGGTGCGCGTTTCTAGCGGGTAATCTCCTAAACGGCTGGGCCAATTTTGACGGGACTTTCACCGGAAGATAGTTGATGTGCGGATATGTTATAGGTTTTTTAATCTCATGAATGAAGTTGCAAGCGAACCCTGGTTAGATAAAATAGTCCTAACACTAGGCGTAGTCATACATTATGTTTATTTATTACGAGACAAATATTTAAACTATAGCAAATAAAAGCTTTATTAAACTTATTGGGAATGGGAAAAGGTATAGGATTTGTCGTTTCATAGTAATAACATATTAGGTTATCTGTAATAACATATCATATTATGATAAAGAGCGGCACCAAAATTTTCCTTCATAAAAGAGTTTAAGACTAGATTTATTTATATTTATGTCATACATGGTATTAATCCAAACACGTCATACTTGTTTGTAAACATCGATAAAGGGTAGCCCGAATACATTTTGTTGAGTTAAGCTTAGAATATCTAATCAAAACTTTGCTACTAACATTTCAACTTATCAAGTAAACGGTCTCAGCAGATGCTGCAAATATGTTAAAATTAGCCATAAAATATTCAATCTCACTTTGTACATATAACTTTAGATTTAAAGTATAGATAACATTTAGTCCGAAATAAATTAAACCACAAACAATTTGTAAGAAAAAACCACGTATTTGCGTATAATGCGAATGTTTGGATGGATGTTTGAAAGTATCGCGCGCGGCTATATGTATCTCGCTTAATTTTGGCATAGATGTACAACATCTGGAAGAACACAGATAACTGAGTGTTTTAATACCGTACGGATGGAGTCACGGGCGACAACTAGTTTAGTTATATTATACATGAACATTAAATTTGTAAGCCATGACAAATAAAATGATACCTACAAACATTCTCTCCGCACATTTACGGTGAAACACATTTGCCATAAGAACAAAGGCGTGGAAGTCATAATTATTCCGCCGTAAGTAGAAACATAATGTAAGCTCGAGTTACCTTTTACTCCACGCCGTGGGGAAAATAAGCATTAACAATATTTTTAAATTCTAGAAGAGCAAAGGAAATTCTCCATGTTATGTGCCTATATTATAGCTATTTCAAGATAAGTAAGAATAGGAGGTTATTACCTTTTGTTAGCCGACTTCAAAAAGAAGGAGGTTATCAATTCGTCCGTATTTTTTTTAAATGTAATGGAAACCTTACTATATAAATACGAAGGTTTAGAAGAATGGATGGATTTTGGTTAACAGGTAATTCAAAATGCCTAAACGGATCTGAATGTTTAACACAGATATTCTCTGGATTATTCCAGGAGCTACTCAATATTTTTTTTTAATTCTACACGGACAAAGTTGTAGTCAAAGGCTTTTAATATTAACCTAGTTGATGCCCTACTGAACTAGTATTGACTCGTTTCTTTGCTCAATTCAACGTGTAATTTGAAATATAACTGTTTCGAATTTTAATTTTAGCTTCAGCTTCATACTTTGAAGAGTAAAACACACTGAAGAGTGAAGATAAAGTTACCGACCGCGATGTACAAACTTCGGAAAGAGATTTCGTGAAACTCTTAAATGTTCAAATGGATATTTCATAGTTTTTTTTTAGTATATTTCTACTTAATCTTACCTTGCTGTTATTTATTTAGTAAGCGCAATAATAAACTGTTACTAAAAAGTTAAGTAAAAAGTCTGAGTTATTTTCATTCATCAAAGATAATGGGAGGTTTACTGTTTTAGTTAACAGTTGAAAACTAAACCACAAAGATGTAATTACGGCCGACGCGGAAACGTACAAGTTGATCTTGTTTGTTTACACAATAATCAGGAGAAAGACAAGTTAAAACCCTTTCTTAGTATATCATAAATGTGACAGGGGAATAAGCCTGTTGTTGTAAACAGCCAAACAGACTAATTAAAACAACATATACGAGTATGTATACTAATGGTATTGTAAGGGATAGGTTAACAGTTCCCTTAGTATTTGAATTACATAAAAGAAAACAGAAAATTATGTAAAAACTTGAATTATTTCGCAGGATGGGATAAAAAATTGAACATAAAATTTCACAGAATTCCTAATATTTATATTAAAAAATTCATATATCTATATTTTATTACGGTACTCAATGCAAATAACATTTACGTATTAAATAAACATAATCCGAAGGAAAATTTATAGCTTAGGTCCCTTTAGTTTATTTAGTCCGAAGGTTTAAAGTTTTGTGAATAATTACGTAACTTTTCCCAATTAAAACTGAAAATATTACAATCTGAAGGAGTTTGTCGGATAACTTCTCTCTTTGAGCTAGTTCACTTCCAAAATCCTTAATTTCAACTCGTCCAGTTCTGGTTCTAAAAATCGTTTTTATCTCGATTTTTAATAACAATATAATATTGAGAAAATAAGTAACTTTGAAATAAAAAATAAAAAAGTGAATTATTTTTTGAATAAAAGGTTGCGTTTAGGAATTGTGTTTCAATATTTTTTAAGAAGATAGACACAATAACAGTAGTTATGTAAGTACCTACTAAAGATTTATAGCTAACAAAAAGCAATAAAAAACTGAATAACACGTTATATCGTATAACAAAAATTAACGTTATAAAACATCAAACAGACAGCTTTTGAACCGTAATTGGATTGAATAAGTTCAACCAACGAGGTCCTTAAAACTGTTCCATTTTAAATTTTAATTGCGCAAACTTATGTAATTATTTTCAAAACCCCACAGACCAAAATTAATTAGAAACTTGTTATTGTTAAAGTTATTTGTTTTATTTAATATATTGTTACATTTTAAGTACTTTTTATTTACCTCTATATGATGTGGGGATTACTTTAGTTTTCCAATTTATATATTGTCGAATGAAACATTCTGACTGAATAAATTGTATAGGCTCACTTCTAATAAAATTATCTTTGTTCATTCCTTAAAAGAGGGCTCTATTTCTATACACAAACAGTAGTGTGCAAACGTCACTAAATTTCAGTATAAGTGTCGTCGTAAAGTAGCAAAATTATTGAGCCGTCTACCGTCGCAAGGTTACAAGAATGTTATTCCTTCTTACTTATTTCTGGTCATTATTTCTACATTAAATATAAGCTATAAAACAGGTTTTATATGAACATTACGTGATTTTCTACTGCTGTAACTCTTGTACAAAAACTTTTTTATGTTGAATAACCTAATACTTGACCACGATTCCACCTGATGAAAGTGATGATGCGGTCAAAAGATGGTACGCGATAGCTTAGTAATTCGCTCTTATCTTGAAGGCTTATTGTTATCTTTGTCTGTTCGAAGAAACAGAGCGGGATAGAACCATTGTTGCAATTTAGAGAAACAATAATGGGTATTTAATAAGCTTTTGCGATGAAAGTATAATAGTTTACGCAATAACTGGATGTTAAGGCAACCTGCTATCAATTGTGTTTAATATTTAGAAATCAGTATTGTTAAGATTGTATATAATTCAAGATAATTAACAAGCAAAGCAAAATTTTAATTGCCAACGTCTTATTAAGTCTTAATTAAAATGGAGCAGTCAATTTCACCGTCTCGCCATTATTAACAGAGGGCTAATATCTGATTTACACTTTATCCAAATTATATTTTGCCCTTTTGTTTACCTTTAACAAAATAAGCCCGCTGGAACATTTAAGACATCAAATACAATTACTTTAATGTTAAAATAATTAAAGTCGAATTATAATTTTATGTTTAGTATACTTATAACAAAAACATTTTTTTATTAAAATTTATCTTAGTTATTTATAAATTGTATCTAATTTCGTTTGCCTAACATAATCATTTAAAAAACATTAAAATTATAAAGATACATTTCACATTCTATGAGAAACACGGATCAAACTTATTAACATGTAATCGACAAAGTAGGAATTGAAAGAGAAATCATGGAACGATGAAATCTCAGATATTTGCTAGGAAATTTGCAAAAGGTATTTCTCTTCATTTTAATCAAAGTTTGCACATGAATCCCGTCGTAATGTCTGTAAGCAATGAATCTAGGAAATGAAATCAGAAATATTGAGTCCATAATTGGTATTCCCAGTGTGGGGAAATGTTAATTAACGTAATCTCAGAAGGACGCCGGCATCCAGTTCATTTAAACTTGCGCGAGTAATCCCGCTTACGTTCACTTAGCAATATTATTTTTTAATTTAAAATTATTATTTAGAATTCATCAACAATAAAAAACAAGAACATTGCCATCATCTCATAGTAAAGAATTTAGCAGAAATCCATAATTTTTCCTTCCTTGTTTTCTATCAAAAGATGCTGCTTTGTAACTGTAAAATTTGCCATCTTGAATATTTCAAAAACCCGAAATTACTATTGCAATTTTTTATTTCAATTTCCATAGTGTAAACAAATTGGTAAAAAGATTAATAATTTTAAAAAGCTTTTCTGGACATATTTAAAAAAAAACTATCCTAGCAAATTAATCTTCAAAGAAGAAATATCGAACGTGTTTGTTTGAAGAGTCAAAGAATTCGTTGTGGGGTAAGTCTAGAGCAGATAGTGCAGCTCCAAAGTAATGTCGCGTGAAGTGCAGAGTATCGCTGGGACGAAGCAAGAGAACGGCTTGTAAGTAGTCGCGGATTGTACCAGTCAACTCGCCGTTCTCAGAAACGTATCGTCCGCCTTCAGAAGTTCTTGTAGACTGGAATAAATACTTACACTTTTAGTATAATATATATAGTTTGTAGTTAGTATTTTAGGGTTATGCTGAGTGATGATTATTACATAAACAAAAAAGTATTGAGGTTGAATGTGGAGGGCTACAAAAGTAGAGGAAGACCAAAGAACGTATGAATAGATTGTGTGAGAGGATATGCGTAAGAAAGGGGTAAAGTCAAATGACAGCTAACAGAGATGTATAGTGGAGTAGAACATACTGTATCGACCCTCCGTAGAGTTAAGGGCAGGTGATGAACTTTTAGTTTAATAGTAAAAATTTAAAATATTGAATTTTCACTTTTTATGTAATGTCCAAAATGATTTTAAAGTTCTGTTGTGAATATTTCTTATTACTTATTCTCTTATAGATACATAGACATGTTATAATGTTCACGTCCACGCGATGTATAATTTATTCGAAACAAACCAAGCGCGTGTGAAAACCATGAATTACTTTACCACTAAATGCAGCGGTCAGACATCAGGCATACTAAACTAACCATAAACAAACTGAGTCATTAACCATTATTAATGAATGTACTATTCAACAGAAATAATAATTCTAAAGCATAAAATAACAATATAACTCAATATCTTAGGGTGCATAGTTTCTGTACTAGGAACCTAGCAACACACCAAAGTATAATGTAATTTTAATATTTCATTTAGTAATGTCTATTATTATGTTACTAATCATATAAATTCTTATAAGTATTTCATTCCAGAACTATTGAAGTATAGAGAATTGTTCCAGTAAATTGGATATTGCAGTTAGCGTCATTACCTTAAAGTCAAGGTAATCCGATAACAATTGCAAGTCGGTTCGCCAAGTCTCACGCAGAGGCTCGTGGCGTTCTATTTCGTCTTTCTCAGGAACGATCCGTAACAACGGATTTATATGTAGAATGTAACTGTTATTCGCCCACTCCTGGCTTACGATGTAACCTTTTAACATAAAACGGAAAGGGTACTCAATGGTTTTTATGTTTATTATACCTTTATATTTAGCCGATTCAAAAGTACAGATGATTCAACCCAAAGAATCTTACCCCTAAGTGACAGAACCAAAAGGGTTTGGTGAACGTAGCCGGAGGGTTCTATTATATGCCGTTCCACTTTCACCACAAAGAACGGTTTACTATTAACAATTGCGTTACTCACACCAAGGCAAACCTGAAATTCAAAAATTACGATAGAACCATTTATTTCATTTACTAATGTTACTTATAAGTAGAACAATATTGTTTGAATCATATCACAAGACAGATAAATTGGTAATTGTCGTGGCTTTGTTATTCCCATAACTAAAATCTTATTTTTGTACGTAAATATCACAATGAAGGCACTTTTTTTACAATTTGATTATCAATTTGTGAAGGGCATGAGAAATATTTTACATAATACAAATTATTACGTTAAATAAAGAAACACATAAGGCTTAATGTGTATACTTACATAAATACTTTCACACACAACGCCGCCAATGAGAACGGTATCCGTTTTAATACAGCCTTTGTAACGAGTCAGACCCACATAACGCATAAGCACGATATTAGCGCCTTCCAACAAAAAGTTATGGGCTTCTTCAAAGGTATGATAAAACCGCTTTATTAAATGACGGTCGCCACATATACGAGTGACTTTATTGTAGTAACCGCTCTCGCAAATTGCCATATAATTTCGCTTCTCTTTAAATTTATCTCTACTCTGTATATACCTATGAAAATATTTTCCTTTTAAAAGAAATTAACTTAGACTATAACATCTTAATTATTCTTAGGAGAGCAATTATCATAGTAAAAATATTTTTTAGGGCAGTCCCTTCTTATACCTATTATATTTGACTAGTCAAATCCTATAATTTGATACCCATATACGGGATGATTAAAATATGACAGGATACCATTTTGTTGACGGATACTTAACACTTATACGTAACGAGATCGTAATATCCTTACTCGGTCCTGTTTTCTTCTAGTGTATGCAGCTTACAATCAACGATACTAACAATTTTAGAGCCCGTCTTCGCAGCTTCTCTAGATGAATGTGATACTACCTGAACCAGGAATTTACCCTTGTCTTCTCCGAGTGTCTCAACATTGATAGTTATACCTACAAAAAATGTTGAATCAACAAAGCAGAACTAATATTGTCCCTATAAAATAATCCTGGGAGTATCCTCCATGCAGGTAGCACAGGACCGAACATCGTGGCGATCTTTGGTCTACGCTTATGCCCAGCAGTGGGTGTAACATGGCTGGAACAAACGAACGAAGGAAAATAATATGTTCATAAGATTTGTACCTCCAACAGCACTACAGCAGTCAAGAGATAATTTTTTTGTCTTTCTCCTATAACTTGGTATATTTGGTTTTTCACTATCATCACTTCCGGTTTCTTTTTGTCCTTTCATGTCAGTTATTACTACTTTCGGTTCTTCCACCTCTTTATGAACAATTTTGTCATGTCTTCCGTAAGCATAATCGAAATATGTGTGTCGTGGATCGACATCATGACACCAGCGGTATCCATGTTTTCCTGCTCGTACTTTCTTTAATTTCTTAACTTCACCTTGATCGACACCGCCACCCGATTTTATACAAGTACATTCAATTTGTTTTTTACTTTCAATGTCACATATACAAGGCGGTGTACATTCACAAATATGAAAACATTTACAATTCTCTGGATTCCCGCATTTACAAATTTTAGTGTCGGGAAAACATGCACAAGTATCGTCTAAATTACGATTACAAGAACAATCTTGAGGGTTTTGGCATGTTGAAGAACAACTTAAACCGCTTTTTCCCTGTGCTTTTCGATCACACACACATGAAATCTCTTCTTCTACCCCTGGTTCAGATGGTTTTGATTTTTGGCAATCACAGGAAGATTTAGTTGTTTTAGTTGATTCCTCAATAACGCTTTCGCCTGGTATTTCTGAAGGAACTGAATAATCGTACGTCACGGGTTTATGTTTACAAATACAAGTGGGCCGTGGAAACTTATCTCTGTTGCAAATACATGGTTTATCAATTTTATCGCAAGTGCAAATTAAACGACATTTGTCTTCCATGCAGGTACATATTTCAGCGTTTTTACAAGAACATTTAATGTCTGGTTTTGTTTCATTGCAAACACATATATTTTCTAATGCAGCACACACACATTCTGATTTTTCTTCGGCGCCGCAAAGACAGGGTATTTCAACCATACATTTACATCGACCTTTTGGATCAACCTCACAGCTGCAATTATCTTGGTGGACATTTCTTCGATTTATATGTGGCATACCATCTTTAATAATAAGACTACTTTTGCTGTCTCTGGAAGGAACAGGTTTGCTACAATCCGGGAAAAAGTAAAAATGAAAATCATTATCTTCGTCGCTGGAATGTTTAGAAGCTTTCTCTTCAACTTCTTCCTTCGGTTCCAAAGGCTTAATATACCTAACCTTATCGGTTTCTTCACTGACCGAAGTTTCGGAAGTGGAACATTCTGAATCCGATAATATGTCATACGATTTTCCTTCAATGTGTCCACAACTGATTATTAGTGTTTCGCCAAAACATAACTGTTGTTTTAAAGCATCATCTGAAATATTAAAAATCAATCAAGTTGACAAAAGGCGCAAAGTATTTTCTGTAAACTTAATATAATTTGCAGTATTTTCATGGTACTCTATCGTCCACGTTTTTGAGTTACCTTTTGCACTCTTTGCCCATTTCTAAGTAAAAAATAACTCATTGAATATTTTTATAAACACTGCTACTTACCAATATTAAAAGGGATTTGTTTAGACAATTGTATTAAAGATATCTCGGATTTTATAGACATTTTTTGGTGTCAAATGTGACTTTTTATCGTGATAAATTGTCATTATATGAAATGAAAATTGATTTGTTGTTCTTTTTTTCAAACAAAGGTTTTTATTTAAATAGTTTTTATTCAGGTACCTATAGGTTAATAAATTAATAAACGCATTTTCAATATAGCATTAACACGATGTTAAATAGTATTGAAATTAGAAACTTTAAAACTAAAATATCTTTTAAGTTAAATCATCGAATAGTTGGATTGGCTATAGGAATACTTATAATCAGTCCAATGAGCAATCCAATTTCCTGCTATAGGGGTTTTTAAGCCTCTTAGGGGCTGTAACAAACAAGAGTGTATTTAACGATCTAATGAACTTTCAATACAATGCGGAAGCTAATGAATTCGTTAATCTAAACTTGCTTCAATCGATTTTATATATTTTGAAACGGGATTTTATACTGGAATAAAATTTATAATAATAAAATTATATTGTAATTTTAGTAATAGGCAAATATGCGTCACTTTTCTAATGAATGCATTCATATGCAAATCGACGAGTTTTTACAATTTGCCTAGGCAAACTACAAAAGGGGGACGCTCACGATTTGCTCGTAACCATTGTTGCGCTCTTATTTATTAATTGATATTAAGATATTTTATAGTACATTTTGCAAAACCACTGTTATTTTACAAGCGCTATTTTTAATAAATATATTTGCTATTTTCTATATATATTTGCTATTTTATATACTCTTTGCATAAATGCGGCTGCCACCACTTTGCGTTGCGTGTAACGTTCTGCGTAAAACGAAACGAGTCTGTCGGAGCAACTTGACAGATGATGTGGCCTAATGTTTGATTCTTGAGAAATTTCATGAATTCCATAGTTAATATAATATTAAATAAAATGCAAATATGATCGTTTTCCAATTTTATGTGTTTATGTTACTAGTATCTTTATTTCAATGTAGACTACCAGACAAAGTTATATGTGCAAATGAAAAATGCAGCGGTAAGTTTTTGGAAACATGACATTTCTAGTAAGAATAGGCTGTGAAATATATGTTAAACTTATTTAAATATTTTCAGAGCCCATATCTAAAGCAAAAACACTTCTAACGTACAATAGCGGCGATCCAGATCTTATATCATTTCGAGCCAATTCAGAGGCCTTAGTGTATATGAAATCAGCTGGTAGTAACCCCGATTTGTGGTATGCTAAAATTAATGGCAAAACGGGATTCGTGAGCTCGAGGTTTTTAAGGGAAACAAAGATTATTGAAAGAAATCCAACATTTTTAGTACCAATTGAAAAAAATGTCAAAGAAAACCTCCAACCAGATAAAGTGCAACAACCACATGAAGTATTTGAAGGCACAACCATTTTTACAACGGAAGCCACAAGTAATCAAGAGGAAAGTGTTACAGAGCAACCTGCTAGTATAACCACAGAAAGTTCTATACTTCCATTAAGTGCAATTGAAACTCAAAATATAGATAGTGAAAATAATAATGATTCAGCCCAATCTGAAAATCATAGTATCATTTCTGATTCTGTTAATACTGAAACAGCCACAATTGTAGATAACAATCCTGTAATAGATAATGTTGCAAGTGATACATTGATTGTTCAAGAAAATTCTATAAGTAATAATGACAATAAAATAATAGAAAATATAGATCCTAATGAACAAGTAAATAGTTCTATAGAAAATGTATTACTTAATTCTAATACTCAAGAAAAAAATGTACAAGATGTTGAAGAGAATAAGAAAATAACTACTGAAACTATTGATAATGTAAATATAGAGACTGAAAAAAACCTTGAATCTGCTGAAATAAGTACAGAAATACCAGAAACAATATCATCAACACAGGAATCAGAAGTCCCAAGTATTGCCACACCTTTAAATAATGATAACATAGAGGAAGTAGAACAAAATAATTCAAACATTAGTATAGAAACTTTGAATTCCATTTCTGAAAACTTTCCATCACAAGAACAAGATTCTGAATCTAGTGAAAATATAAACGTGGATACCCATACTGAAAAACCAATAGAAAATATAATTATTCCACAAACTTTGCCTTCACAAGAAGTACCAAAAGATATTGAACAAAATATTATTCCTTCCACAAATATAGAAAATGTGGAAAATAATTCACCAAAGGTTGAAGAAAATAATGTGCCGTTAAACACTTACATTGAGTCTATACAGAAACCTGCTGAACCTGAAATTCCTTATAACATAGATAACAAAATTAATAATCTTCCTCAACATGATATTTTAAACAATTTACAAAATCCACAACCTCATGTACCTTCAAATTTAGGTACAATACCAGCGGCAACAATTGAAGCTATACATGTAGATACTTCCACAGAATTTGATAATAACATAACCCCACCAAATATTCAAACAATTGAAGAAACAACAACTGAACCTAATATTCTTACCGATGAAGTCGTTTCTTCATTACCTTCCTCAGAGAATTCAGATAGTACAACTATCTCAGCATTAAATACACCACAAACTGAAAGTACACCACCACAAATTACAATTGAAGAGTTGTACACAATGTCAACCGAAAGTCCCGATGCAAATGAAGACAATAGTCAAAGTATAATATCAGATGTCTACTCAACGGTAGCTAGCTTATGGCCCACTACAACTGAGGTGCCGCCACATTATGAAAACTTATTTAATCCGGAGAATCCTCAGCCGGAGGTAGAAAAAGAGTTTTCAATAATGAAGTATATAGTATCTACTTATAATAATGTTATGGGGACCAATGAGCAAACAAAAGCAATATTTGCATCTGCAGGTAATTTTTTTATTATATTATAGTAAATGTATACTTCTACATAAATATATGGTACTAACTGTCGTCCGCAGGGAATTTAAAAAAATAAATTAATAAGTGGCTTATATGTTCTTCCAGACTATGCTCTACATCTATGCCAAATTTCAGTGAGATCCATTGAGATAACTTCAAACAAACATCCATCCATCTAAACATATGCATTTATAATATTAGTATTATAGTAATAGTAATTGCAATATTAGTAAGATTGCTTGATTAATTTATGAAATAAAAAGATGCAAATATCATTCCATATTACTGATTAAGTTAGAACATAATTTTACATTATTTGTATTTTCAGGAGAAACATGTTTTACCGATGAATATTGTGATGGTGAAAGTTTCAGTCAAAAACATAGATTGCTAACATTCCTCTTAACAACTGCCGGTGCTGTGCTCTTATTTACTTTGGGATATTATTATATTGAAAATAAAAGGCAAGATGGTAAACTTATTGGTACAATCAATTCACTGCAAAGGGACCTCTTATTTAGCACAAAGGTAAACAAATAAATATAGTTCACTAGCACTGAGTTAAAAAAAATTATTAGTAGCCTATGTGTTCTTCCTATTAGACTGTGTTCTATATTTATGCTGAATTTCAGCAAGATCCATGTAGCTGTTCCGGAGTTACCGTCTAACAAACATCTATCTAAACTTTCGCATTTATAATAATAGTAAGAAGTAAAATTACGGGAAAATACTACAAATAATTTGTGTTAGATTGATTTGTGAAAATAAATTTATTTCAAAGTATTTTGTTACAGGAGTGTGAGATCCTTAAAGAGGAACTTGCAACTACGAAGAACAAGTTAACTGGTATCGAAGACAATTCATTTGGTATGGACGATATGGTGAAATCATTGAAAGAAGAAATTAATGAACTGAATGCACAAAACGATAGATTACGAAACTCTTTGGACGACAATGAGAAACTGCTTCGAGTATCAGAGAATACTGCCGGAGAGTTACAGAATACTTTGGGTGAAGTAGAAAATACTTTAAGTGAACTTTTAGCTGAGAGAGATCATGCTGAGGAACAAATTGCGGAGTTAAATGGTAAAAGCAAATATATTATACTGTTTGTATCTTTTTATGTACTAACTATAAGTATTATTATTTGTTGATTGTGGAATGCATTGGAACAAAACAGAAATTTGTAAGAATGTAGAATACTTTCACATTTCAAAGAAAGTAATATAATTTTCATGCTAATTTCTATCCGCCCATATCACAGAATTGTCCATATGTTCTCTTTGTAAAAAAATCTATTTATTTAAAACTGACTGTCACCCTCAACTCCATCCGAACGGAATTAAAAAAAATAAGTAGCTTATGTGTTCTCCCAGACTATGTTCTATATCTATGCCAAATTTCTGTTAGATCAGTTCAACAACTCCAGAAATACCATCAAACAAACATCCATCCATCTAAACATTCGCATTTATAATATTAGTAAGATATTTTTATTGTTGTTTTATTTAAAATATAGGAAAAATCCAAGCTTTTGAAGAAGAATTAATATCAGTGAGTAGAGAAAGGGACAATTTCCAATTGAAATTCGTCTCAGCTGAAACTTCATTAGAGGAATTCAAAAAGCAAAAGAAACAGTTTGAAGAAATGAATAAGAAATTATCTGACGCTAACAATACTATTGAATTACAAAAACACGAAATTGAAGCTCTGAAGGTAATTACTTCTTATACTACAATAATATTTACTAACACACTAGGTATTGCCCGCGACTCCGTTTGCGCGGAATCAAAACAAAACTTAGTGAGCAGCCTATGTGTGTATGTGTATATTCTACACCTGTGCCAAATTTCATCAAGATCTGTTAAGCCGTTCCGGAGATACTTTCAAACAAACATCCATCAAAACATTCGCATTTATAATATTATATTAAGTAAGATTCCATGCTAAGACGATTTTTTTATAGTTATCTTGCCAGGCGATTCGGTCACAGTGAATCTGTTAACTTAAATAAAGGAATTTTCTAAAACCATGAGAGCTGATAGAACTCAAATGTCTGGAATATAGAAAAAGTATTGGTACTTATTATTAGCAAGATTTATTGTATTTATTTCAGGATGCTATAAAAGAACTTAAGAGTGGAACACCATCAGATGTGGATGCTGCAACATTAATTGACCATACGGAGATAAAAGCTAAACTATCTAA